ATTGGTCAGGCTCCTCTCATCCTGCGAAAGAGCAGAGATACAGGGGGGCAAAGGAATTGGGGAAATAATGGGCATGAGCCACCCAGTTACATATCCGGGGGCACGGGTCATCACACACCAGCTGTCCGACCTCATCACACTCAGACTCCACCAGGGCCCACCATGTTATTGGGTATCCTGTTCTATCTGCTGCAGGCCCGTGAGTTCCTGCAGGAAGGCATGACCTACAGTCTGGGGGAGTCTTCTACCTGGCGTGGATCGGCATCTTCTGCTTCCTGTCGATTGGTCTGAGCTGGGATGGGGTTGGGTTTGAACAGGTTTCAGTGATGCCGATGGGGGACGGCCCGGGAAAGAGTTGGGGATGAGGATGGGGTTGGGTTTGGGTTAGGAAATGGATTATTGGGGGCAGGGTAGGGGTGGGTTAGGTTTGGGTTTGAAGGTGGAGGGTTGAGGAAAATACAGGTGAAGGGGTTGGGGACAGTGTAGGGGATGAGATGGAACTGGGGACAGGATTGAATTTGGAAATGGATTCGGACAGTGCAGGAATGGGGTTGAGGTTGGGTTAGGGATGGATGTGGGGACAGGGTAGGGGGTATCATTGGGCATGGGGAGAGGACTGGGGTCCAGGTGGGGTTGGTGAACTCTACACCTCACCCCCTCTGCTTTCTTCCTCCCTCAGGTTTCATTTCCTACATGAACTATGTGAATTTCTGGTTCATCCTGGCACCCCAGGCCATCTGGACTTAGAACATGGGAATGGCCCTCCTTCCTTCCTGCTCCCACAGCTCCCTGCCACGGGGCTGACGACCCTGCTCTCCGGCCCTCACACCCACCACAACTCTTGTCCCTTTTCAGTCCCCTCTGAGTCTCCCCCACTCAAATTACTAATCGGTATTTTTAAATCTGTACTTTTAGCCAGAATATGCTTTTGGCTTAGTTAGTACCTTGTCAGTGTTCTTTGGAACTGTCATACCTCCTGAGGTCATCCCTAGGGCCGTGTGGGGTAGAAGGATGGGGCTTAAGGGTAGAAGTGAGGGGAGGGAATCATGACAAAGAGACTTGAGGCAAAAAGCCAGTCAAGAATTAGGCCAACGAGGATAGTTTTTCCATTGCTTTTCAGAGAGAGAAAGTGGAAGGGAGGTGGAGGAGAGAGAGAGAGAGAGAGAGAGAGAGAGAGAGAGAGAGAGAGAGAGAGAGAGGTTTGTTGTTTCACTTATTTATGCATTCATTGGTTGCTGCTTGTATGTGCCCTGACCAGGGATTGAACCTGCAACCTTTCGGTGTACAGGACAACGCTCCAATCAACTGAGCTACCCGGCCAGGGGTCAAATTTGTTTTTTGGTTTTGTTTTTGGTGTTTTGTTTTGTTTTTTTAACGCAGGCTGATTTGTAACTATGTGCCAGACACCGGATCTATAGCGGTGATCAAATTGGACGCAAATCCTCGTCTTTACGGAACTGACATTTCATCTGGGGAGGCAAAATAATAGGACCACAAAGGAAGAGTTGGGTGTGTTAGTGGATCCGTTCTACGAAGAGAAACAAAGGAGTGTAAGGGAGACTGGTCTGTTCTGTAAAGATAAGGGTGGTTAGAGGGGGGGGCCTCTCTGCTAAGGTGACACCTGAGCGGAATCATGGCTCAAGAGAGGAAGAGAGCAAATGGAGTTAGATTGCGGGGAAAGAGTTCCAGGCAGAGGACCCAGCAAATGCAAAGGTGCTGGGGTGCAACTGTGTGCTTGGCAGGTCCTAAGAAGGCCCGGGGAATCAGCGTGCCTTGGCAGGTCCTAAGAAGGCCCGGGAATCAGCGTGCCC